GGATCAGATTCGACCAAAGTAATTAACTCGGGATCGACAGAGAATTCATAATCCTTATTTGTAACACAAATAGATGAAGTAGCAAAAGCAGTGTCATATTGCATTCTAGCATTCAAAGACTTTTATTTCAACTTAGCTAACAGTTTCTTAAGATCATATCTATCATTGCAAGCAAGAAAGTCTCTAACAGTTTCTTCATCCATAACATAACCCTCAGGTACAACATGAAATTCATATCTAGGGGGAGAATCATCATCATCAAATTCAATAATATCATCAGTTTCAGTAATTTCTTCTCTCTAACCCTAGCAAGTTGTTCATCAAGAAATTCACCTAGTGGCACATTATTATCAAGCAGAGAAGTAGTATCATCATAAGCATCATGCATAGCAGAAGTGGCATCATCAATAATATGCGACATATCAGAATCAATAGCAGGTGTAGGTGTCGCAAGTTTACTCAAAACAGAAGGTGAATCAAGTGCAGAGCTAGATGACAGTTCCTTACCTCCCCTCGTAGTTGAGGGAAAAATCTTGGTTCTTTGATCTTTCAAATTCCTCATAGTGATCAACAGATATAAATCTCAAGTGACTCAAAGAATAGAGTTATGCTCCCCGGCAACAGCGCCAGAAAAAGGTCTTGATAACCCACAAGTATAGGGGATCGCAATAGTTTTCGAGGGTAGAGTATTCAACCCAAATTTATTGATTCGACACAAGGGGAGCCAAAGAATATTCTCAAGTATTAGCAGCTGAGTTGTCAATTCAACCACACCTGAAAGACTTAATATCTGCAGCAAAGTATTTAGTAGCAAAGTAGTATGGAAGTAACGGTAATGGTGGCAAAAGTAACAATAGCAGTTTTGTAACAATCGTAACAGTGGCAGGGGAAAAGTAACTTAGCAAGGATCAATATGAAACGAGCTCGTAGGCAATGGATCAGTGATGGATAATTATGTCGGATGCAATTCATCATGCAACAATTATAACATAGGGTGACACAGAACTAGCTCCAGATCATCAATGTAATGTAGGCATGTATTCTGAATATAGTCATATGTGCTTATGAAAAAGAACTTGCATGATATCTTTTGTCCTACCCTCCCGTGGCAGCGGGGTCCTATTGGAAACTAAGGGATATTAAAGCCTCCTTTTAATAGAGTACCAGACCAAAGCATTAGAACTTAGTGAATACATGAACTCCTCAAACTACGGTCATCACCGGGAAGTGTCCCGACTATTGTCACTCCGGGGTTTGCCGGATCATAACACATAGTAGGTGACTATAACTTGCAAGATAGGATCAAGAACTCACATATATTCATGAAAACATAATAGGTTTAGATCTGAAATCATGGCACTCGGGCCCTAGTGACAAGCATTAAGCCTGGCAAAGTCATAGAAACATCAATCTTAAAACATAATGGATACTAGGGATCAAACCCTAACGAAACTAACTCGATTACATGGTAAATCTCATCCAACCCATCACCGTCCAGCAAGCCTACGATGGGATTACTCATGCACGCGGTGAGCATCGTGAAATTGGTGATGGAGGGTGGTTGATGATGACGATGGCGACAGAGTCCCCTCTCCGGAGCCCCAAATGGACTCCGGATCAGCCCTTCCGAGGAAGAACATGGCCTGGCGGCGGCTCCGTATCATAGCACACGATAAATCCTTCTCTCTGATTTTTTTCTCCCCGAACGTGAATATATAGAGTTGGAGTTGAGGTCGGTGGAGCTCCAGGGGGCTCACGAGGCAGGGGGCGTCCTAGGGGCGGGGCACCCTCCACCCTCGTGGGTAGGGTGTGGGCTCTCTTCTGTTGATTCTTTCGCCAGTATTTTTTTTATTAATTCCAAAACGTGACTTCCTGAAGTTTCAGGTCATTCCAAGAACTTCTATTTCTGCACAAAAATAACACCATGCAATTCTGCTGAAAACAACGTTAGTCCTGGTTAGTTCCATTCAAATCATGCAAATTAGAGTAAAAAACAAGGACAAAAGTGTTTGGAAAAGTAGATACGTTCGAGACGTATCAGACGTCTCACCGCAACACATCGTGGTGGACCCTGGAGTTGGTGTATGCATGGGCCCTAGACCGCTCCAAGACTACGGCGGAGACGAGCAAGCACCGTCTCCGCCGCCTCCTCCCAGGCCCGCCATCCTCTCCCTTGCCCGCGTCGTCGGTGGCCGTGGTCACACTGCGCAGAACGCAGGAGGAAGTGGAGAGGATTATCAGCGAGCGTCAGGCTGCTGCCGGGAAGACCTACCGCGACGCCACGCCCTTCCGCCCGAAGCCCGACGACAATGCTTCCGACGATGATGACGGAGGAGTCGTCGGCTTGCCCGACATGGCCTATGAGGTCACCGTCAAGCTATGGTAGTGTAGGGTTAGGTTTTTAATTCACCGAACAAAATATCGTCCGGTTTTGTATAAAAATTATCTTAATTTAAATGAATACCATCCGGTTTGTTCGAGTTTGAATCAAATTTGTTTATTTTTGTTTAAAAATCTTTGAAATGTAACCAGACATATAGAGATAGCATTAAACAGCCGTTCTCGCATCCATGTCCGCATATACGCACGCACACTCGCGCACGAGACCCCGCGTACGCGTACGCTACGCACGCCCCCTACCGCGTCAAGAGTGGCACCTCTCGCCCAACCAGTTATCGCCACGTGGCGTATCCACCTTCTCTGCCCGCAGATAAACTCGTACGCACGCGATTGACCGATGTTCGACAGCTCGTGTACGCGACGCCACGTCTTCCGCGCTGGCGGCATCACCCTCCCAATCTTCCGCGCTGCCCGCAAGCCAGCGCCCCGTTGCTGTTCTCTTCCTCGCGTTGGTTCTTGCACACGGTAGATAGATCTCTGCGGGTGAAGCTCGGAGGAATATCCCCCCGCGGATGCCGTTCTCCCGCTGCACATGGACTGGGAAAATGGCATCCGGCATGATCCGAGCGCACAAAACCTCGTTGCTGTCGCCCTGCCCGGCCCGGACGTGCACCTGAGATCTCACGGCCGATGCACCACTACGCCTCAGCGTGTGATCAGTGATCACCTTCGTTTCTTGACTCGAATTTCACACGGGAAAAATAGCAAGACTTATCCCTGATCGTGTCCAACTTCTTTAGTTTCACGGGGAAGAGAAAATAGCCACGCCTGATTTTCTCATGGGCTGCTTCCACATACACGCTACCCATTCTTCCACATACACGCTACCCATTCTTTCGGGCACATGGGAAATATGAAGCTGCACGTTGGTAATCTACTCCCTCTGTTCCAAAATTACTCGTCGTGGTTTTAGTTCAAATTTGAACTAAAATCACGACGAGTAATTTGGAACGGAAGGAGTAGCTCTTATGCGGTTCCATGGTTATAAGTTTCTAGCCCTAACGCTCATTCCCATTTTAGGTGTCACCACCACCGCCACCGCAGTTCGAAACGTTTATGTGTCACAAGTGATGGTTGCGACGGGTGGGTAAGCACGCGCCAACGTCTCGTGGATGTATGCTACACCGCGACAGCCTGCGGTGGCACGGGTGTCGTGTCGGTAGTGACATATTTTTTGCGTACCAGGCATAGGAAGACCACGGATGACACACAAAAGTTACCTTCTTTTTTGTCGGGAAGGCATTAATGAAGGTTGCTCTTTTTTGTCGAGACGTGAATGTCCCTTAGCACGGCTAACACACTTATAAGATTGTAAAAGCAAAACGACGCACCACACCGCATGGAGAAGCAAAAAAGCTGGCCAACTCATCGACACGACATCTAAACCGTGTTGAGTGCCATTGCTTCCAAGTGATGCTCTTCCTCCTCTGTCGTCCCTGCCCCGGCCACCTCGGCCCTTGGCAAGCATATTCCTTTTCGGGGAAATAATTAAAGACATATATACATAGCAAAATTGGTAAGAAAGACTCCCCCCCCCCCAATATCGTGCCCAACTTCTAAGTTTCACAGTGAAGAAAGGTAGACGCGCCTAATCTTCTCATGGTTGCTTCCATACACACACTGCCCATTTTTTGGGCACATGGAAAATATGGAGCTAAATTTCGGTAGTCTAGCTCTTCCACGGTTCCGTGATTCTAAATTCATAACCCTAGCGCTCATTTCCATTTTAGGTATGACCGCCATTGCTAACGTTGGACTCAGACATGTGTCATGACGTATGGTTGTGACGAGTGGATGAGCACGCACCGGCGTCTCATGGAAGTATGCTACACCACCGCAGTCCGTGGTAGCGCGGGTGTCGTGCGGCAGTGACATCTTGTTTAGGTACCAGGTACAAAAACACCACGGACGACACACGAAAACTACAGTTTTTCTTTTTCTTTTCAAGAAGGCATCAATGAAGGTTGCTCCTTTTTTGTCGAGACATGAAAGTCCCTCGGGCACAACTAATGTACTACTCCTATAAGATAGTAAATGCAAAACCAAGCACTACATCACGTGGAGAAGCAAAAATTCTGGCGTGCAAAATATGCATCATCTTCCTTACGAAGAGGTAGCCGGCTCTTCGACACGACGTCTAAGCCATGTCGAGTGCCATTGCTGCCCGCCGATGCTCTTCCTCCTCTACCGTCCGCCTCGGCCCTCGGCAAGAATATTCCTTTTCGAAGAAAATTACCGAGATATATGCACAGCAAAAAAAATACTTTTGCCAAAAAAAAAGGCAAGAGAGACAGCAGGCGAGGCTGACGGGTGGGCCCGGCTCTAGAAAGCGCTGCTACTCGCTGTGGCCGCGGCGCGGTCCGATTCTTTTTTTTTGCGGCGCGGTCCGATTCGATCTCCGGTCAAGTGACTCATCGTCCTCCGCGTAAATAGCAGCCTTCTCCTTGAGGGCATCGTCTTCTCCACCCCCTCCTCGCCTTCCGCTTCGATTCAATCCAAATCCAAATCCAAATCCAAATCCAAATCGATTTCCTCCCCGCCGCGCCTCCGAATCCGCCGCCCGCCCGCCCACCGCCGAATCCCCTCGGATCCCGCCCCCAATGCCCTCCTCCCCGCTCGCCGCCGGCGACGCCGCGTCCACCTCCGGCCCCGCCTCCGCCTCCGCCGCGCCCGCCGATGACGACGACCGCGTCTTCCTCGTCCAGCACCGGTAAGCGCTCCGACAAACCCTAACCCTACCTAGCCCTCCGATCCGAGGCCGGCGGGTCCGCGGATGGCGCCTCTGACGGCATCGCTGCCCGAGCAATGCAGGTGGTGGAGGGAGGCGCAGGAGGGCGCCGAGATCGACGCGCACGGGATTCCCTACGCGGCGGCGCCGTCGGGGGGCCCCTCCTACGGCTTCCGCGGGGTGCTCAGCCTGCTCATGAGCGACAACGCCACCTTCACCCTCCGCCGCGCCGACGACCTCCTCCAGCCCGAAGCCTCCGCCAAGGCCGGGGCCAGGAGCTACGCGCTCGTCGCGGCCGACCTCTTCGGGAAGGCACGCACCTGGTGAGCGCAAAAGCCTCTGCCTCTACTTGCTCGTTGGGACGGGAGCGGATCATGGATTGGATGAATAGATAGATGCATCTGTAATGCCTAGATTCTGATCATGCCGTGTGCGGGTTATTACGTAGGCAATGGTGCATGGTATTAGTGTTGGATCAAATCTGATGGTTGGTGCCCAGTGAAGCTTTAGGTATCATATATGCATTGCGCGGTGTATTAATGCATGTGGTTTGGTCAATAGGTATGTTCTCGAATCTAGATTGGAATCACCCTTGCTGCTGGGGGGCTAAAGGGAGTTAGGGAACCAAGCTTGTGCCCTATGTTCCTAAAATGGCACCGGTAGTCTCAGGTGGGCTATATAGGGTAACTGTCCGTTGCTCACTTGCATGCGCGCCATTGAGCTGCCTGCTGGTAGAATGAATGCGCCTAGGCGATGGATTAATTCGCCAATATTGTCGTGTCGTCTTGTGCACACAGTAGTTTGTTATCCTCCTTGTATCTATAAGGAATATTAACTTTGTATAAGCATGCAGAAAGTGTGCAGTTGGACGTATTTGCGTTACATGAAAGGTTTATTAGTGACATGCTTACTAACTGTCAGTGATGGATTATTAATTATATATTACAGTTGTACATAGTATTCCTTCTTATTAAAGCAATGTGCAACCAAGCCGGAGAGTTCTTTGGCGTCAATTTTCCATGAAGGTTATAATTGATTTTTTTGTCACACTGGCTCCGCGGAGGCTGCTACTGTTGATGCTCTGTCTCCAGGCATGTCTAGAATAGTTTTGTAGGAGAAAGAAAAATATGATGGTCTACTCTACTATATGGTTTGTCGTTTCATCTCTAGTTTGTCTACCATAGCCGATGGCAACAAGGGGACATTTATTGGTTCACTTTATGCTTTTGTGTTGTACAAGTCATAATAGTACACAGTTACAAACCCAATTTTTCTTGAGTCTTTAGATGAAGCTTGGATGTAACCCACTTTAAACTATTCTGAGGGAAGTTCATTATACCATGCAGCAAGTTCAGACCAAGAGATCTGGTATTGCATTTAGCCTGTTGCATTTATTCCTTGAGCTGGTCGATGGATGGGAAGTGAGATTACATAGATGTAATATTTGAATGCAATGATGCACCTAAAAATTAGGCCTACCAATTGTGTAATATATGCATAGCTGGCTGGTTTAGCTATGCTCCAATTTTTGGTTTGCCCTGATTGTTTATATTATCTGTCTCATAACTTAATTGATTTCTTGATTTTCTCACCTAGGCATTTTGATTCTCTCAAGTCTAATGGCAAAAGTTCATTGCTTACTGAAGAGGCATCCGTAAACATATACCCTATAATGCTTAGAGTTTTGGTCACTCGAGGTACAAATGCACTAACGGTGAAGATCAGTAGAAAGGTATGTGTTATTTTCCACACCATCTGCTTCCCCTCCTTGTTTTGAAGAAAGGTTTCTCAGCAGTGTTGGTTTTGTAAAGGATCTATATGTTTTCATTCATGAATTTCACTTCAGTTCATAAGAAAACGGTGTTGTTCTAATTTTTACTTTTAACATATCAGGACAACTCAGCCGAGAACTTTAAAAGAGCAAACAAGATTCTGGCTTCGGAGTCTGAGCCGGTAATTTCTGATTATTTTCACTTGAATGTGTAAAGTTTTGTGTTTCTTTTCTTTGATCACATGTCTATTTATATTTAGGTTCACATATGGGATTTCTCTGGGCGAACAACCTTCATATTGATGAATGAATGGAACCGTATGCCCCAAGATCCCCGGTCTTCTGACCAGGAGGTCATTATCTTCTCAATCAAATTTGCCATTCTATTGCCTATGCTTAATTTCTTGCATAAGATTGTTATAAATTAATTGTACAGTTGTGTTGGTCATAGTCTTTTATCTCCTAGCTACTTCTTAGGCTTTTCTACTGCATTACTACTAATTAGCCAAATTAATCCCCATTACTTTTATTTCCTCCTGCAACATCGTAATTTTATTTGAATGTGGAGCACTGGGACGCTATATTGCTGTTTTTTTGAGTAAACATTCACTGTCCTAATGAAAAATTTCTACTTTAGTGACTTGAATTTTCATGCGCACATGGGTAGCAAGTAACTAATAGTTGCTTTTAAGCGGGTTGAAATTGAAAGTATGCTTATAGCCCCCATCTTCTCCGAGCTTTTGAAATCTAACCTCGCCTCAATGCTGGAGTGCTAACCTGTTTATTTGCAACTAAATTCGGCTGATGCCTGAAGTTCTACTTATATCTGGCACTGGCAAGTTATGAGCATGTTTAGCATTGTATATATTGGTATTGGTACCCCCCCTCCCTCCATAATATCAAAGACGATGACCGATCTGGATTGAGCCGGCTTCCTCAAAATAGATGAGTTGGCTTCTGCTAGGTTAATCCAGACTCGCCTGGTCTGACTAAACAAAGTATACACCAGGTTGTCCTTCCTAGTTACTCCCTCTGTCTCAAAATGTAAGATGTTTTTGACAGTGTCAAAATACGTCTTGCATTTTGAGACGGAGGGAATATTTGATACTAAAATCTAACAGCGGTTAAGTTCTGAAATAAGATCTTCAACGGCCTTTTATTCATATCTTTAGATGAGTAATGGAATACTTCTGTAGTATATTGTGCTTATATGATTTTGTTCACATCTTCAGATGCCTCTGGAAATACAATTCTATGATATATCAGAACCTCCGGCTAATGGTGCTGCTGGGAGAAAAGATGAGTTAGCATTGACCATGGGTAGCTCAGCTTTGAGCAATGGTGGCATCATGGACATGGATCTGGATTCATCAGGTGGAATCTGTAAGCAAGTTGGCTCTGGTTTAATAGGATTAGACAATCTTGGAAACACATGTTTCATGAACAGTGCAGTCCAGTGTTTGGCTCATACTTCAAAGCTGGTTGACTATTTTCTTGGAGATTACCAGAAGGAAATAAACACCCAGAACCCACTAGGAATGAAGGCATGTTGAAATTTCTTTTACATAAACACAGTTCATTTATTCTTAATTTTTATGCCGTTGCTCATCTAGACAATGTTTCTTAAATAGGGGGAGCTTGCTTATTCATTTGGAGATCTGGTGAGGAAGTTGTGGGCTATTGACGGAACCTCATTTTCTCCTCGCCAGTTTAAGGCAAAACTTGCACGCTTTGCCCCCCAATTCAGTGGCTTTAACCAACATGATTCACAGGTTAGTAAATTTCTTGTTTTTCTGAAAGACATGGATGTTTTTAGCATGGTTGGCAATGTGTTAAGCCACTTAATCCTACTTCCATTTTCACGTTCAGAATCAATTAGCCTAAATTTACGAGTCATGTTACTTGCTGCTGTGTTAATCCTGTTGATAATTTACAATGCCAGAATCCTGTGAGTTTGTGGTCTAGTTTGGTTTGCATCCTCGCTATGTGGTGCCTGGCCTGGAGCCTAACCCTTAAAAATAATAGAGCTAGCCTGGCCTGCATAGCTCAGGCAAATAGTTTGCCTGTCAGGCATCAGATTCTAGTTGCCTGGACCGTGGCCAGCGGCTGCCTGGCGCTAATCAATCCATTTGCAGGTGGGTTGTGGGCTGATGCGTCAGTTACCAGGCCCAGGCCCTGTTTCGAGACAGGTGCTAGTCCAGGCTGCCTCACCAGGCTAGAAAACTCGAAATCCTAGGCCTGGGCCAGGCAACACTTCTGCCCAGGCATGCAGCCCAGGGCAGCAACCAAACTAGCCCTTTTTAATTGCTTATATTTCTTGAGGGTGTTGGTTCTTTTCTTTGTATTATTTTCACACTTCCCAGTCATGTAGTAGTATTTTAGCAAACTCACATAGTGTTTAGTATTTACCTGGAATGTTTTATGAGTGCCAATAGATTGGTTTACAGATGACTTTCCTATGCTATTTGTAGGAGCTTCTTGCTTTCTTATTGGATGGACTACATGAAGATTTGAATCGTGTCAAATGTAAACCCTATGCTGAAGCAAAGGATTCAGATGGTCGTCCTGATGAAGAGGTTGCAGATGAGTACTGGGGCAACCATTTAGCTCGAAATGATTCCATTATAGTTGATACATGCCAGGTTAGTTTTATGCGCATGCATTTTCTTTATTTTTGTAAGATATGCCATCTCATATCTCATTTGAAGTAGCCACTACTCTTAACTGAATCACCTTCTATTTCCTGTGGATGAGTTAAGAAATTACTGGTTATCTGCTGTTAGATTCCTCCCATACTTACGGAAGCCATTTCCTAGTCCTTTTAATATTCATTAGGGGTGTCAGTGAGGGGCTGGGTATCGGCAAGTCAAATCATCTACACCTAAACAGCTGTGATACCAGTGCCCAGGCAATTCCGTTGGACTGCCTATTGCCCATACGGAAGGGAATGCATCTTTATACGTTATTCTTGTGGATACATATATCGAATGAAAGAGCAAGTAGAATCCCTTTTCAAACCTATGTAAATTGTGATCAAACCGGCACATCCATACACACTATTTGTGGGTGGAATGAATGTGGGTAATGGTCGATTTTTTTATTCTGGCTGCTTTAACTTGTATGCTTTGTCAAACTTTTGACCATCTTTGGTGCTTCATTGACAGGGCCAATACAAATCTACGCTAGTTTGCCCACTTTGCAAGAAAGTGTCCATAACGTTTGACCCGTTTATGTATTTATCTTTGCCCCTGCCTTCAACGACAACGAGAACAATGACCGTAACAGTCTTTAGTACTGACGGCTCTATTGGGCCATCTCCTTACACTGTGAGTATACCAAAATCTGGAGACTTTAAGACACTCATCAATGCGTTAAGCAATGCTTGTTCGCTTAGAGACGACGAGCGCCTCTTGGTTGCTGAGGTATTACTCATTCCCGCATATCATTCTTGTGCTAAAAGCTACTACATATCCCCTGCATGCTTCCTTAATATATTTTTATGATATTTACATGTAGGTTTACAATAGTTCTCTCATCCGCTACTTGGAGGATCCCTCTGATGACATCTCCTTGATCAGAGATGGAGATAAATTGGTTGCCTATCGACTTCCGAAAGACAGTGAAGGTGCAGCTGTAGTGGTGTTCAAAAGCGAACGTATGGAGTAAGTATAATCGCCTCGTCTGTTATGTTGTGCTGGCAAAGTTGGACTCAGTTTTTCTGAAAGAAAAGAAAAGTTGGATATCAACACCTTCATCGTCTGTTTTCTTTTGTTTTATCTGCCTAAGTACAGATAGAGCCTTCTTACGACAAAATCTTCCTTTTATGTACAGGTCCTCCATCTCTAGTTTTGGTAGGAAGTCTTGGAAGAATTTTGGCACTCCTCTTGTATCAAATCTCCCTGACACAATTGATGGGCGTACTATCTACAATCTTCTCCTAAAAGCTCTGACTCCATTCCGAGAACCAAAAGATGATGTTTTGGATGATGATCAAATAACTGGCAAAAGCAGCCCCGTGAATGAAACTTCAGACATCGATATGAGCTCCGATGCTGCAGAGTGCTCCAGCATGAACACTAATGCTGGTGAGGATGACATGACGACTGAAGGTGGCATGCTATTTTTCTTGAATACTGAGAGGTTCCCGAACCAGCGCATGAAGATAGAAATGGATCAAACTATTACACTTTCCAATTTGCAGAGGCGTTTGATTGTGTCTGTGAGTTGGCAGGATAAGGGTCTCAAGCAATACAACCTTGATTCTTTGGATTCGCTTCCTGAGGTTTACAAGACCGTGCTGTTTACAAGGAGACCACAGGAAACCTGTTCCCTGTATGCATGTCTTGAAGCATTTATAAAGGAGGAACCATTGGGCCCAGAGGACATGTGGTAATTATTTTTCATCGATATTGTCATGTATCACTGTTTTATAATCTCTTGCTTTGAGTTACTTACCCCAAGAAGTAGAAAAACTACTGGAGGAAAAACATAGAAGCACGCACAAGTATTCATGTTTATTTCATTTTCTTTTCACAGGTATTGCCCAGGTTGTAAAGAACACCGACAAGCTAGTAAGAAACTAGACCTTTGGAGGTTACCAGAGATCCTCATAATACACCTAAAAAGATTTTCATACAGTCGGTACACAAAAAACAAGCTGGATACATATGTGGACTTCCCGATTCATGATCTTGACTTGTCGAGTTATATCCGCGACAGAAGCGGGCAGATGTCCAACCACTATCAACTGTATGCTGTCAGTAACCACTATGGGAGCATGGGAGGAGGTCACTACACTGCATATGTTTATGTAAGCGTTCTTTTCCCTGCTGACCTTGTTTGTTATTCTCTGCATGCGCTTAGCCCGCTAAGCAAACACTCTGCATGTGCTTAGTCAGCTTCTCACACGAGGTACCTTCTTCTGTTGCAGAATGATGGGAAAAAGAAGTGGTATGATTTTGACGACCGTTGTGTCTCAGGTCTTGAGAACGAGGATAGCATAAAGACGTCGGCAGCTTATGTTCTTTTTTATAGGCGGGTACATGGTGATACTAGCTTAGTAGATACAGAAACAACAACAATAGTAGAGTCTCCTGATTGTACAACATCAGGAGTAGCGGCGGCGGGTGACGACTTGTGAGCCTGGACATTGTATAGCTGATTGGTTAATTGGGGCCTCGGGGGACAATTGTGCTGTCAAGAAAGATCCAGTGAGGACAAATGATGGCAGCAGCATCGACTGAAATTTTGTTGTGCGGCTGCAATGTAAAGGAACCGACATGGGAGGGAAGCCGCGGCGGTGATTCTTTCCAACACCCTGACTTGAAGGCGGAGGAGAAGCTGATAACTGCAGATATAGACCGGCATGCAGGCTGGCTGTTGGCTTGTATTTTGGTTACCGGGTGCATTTGCAACCCATGATTTAATGGGGTCGAGAAATGGTGGTAGATAATTTATTATATATATATATACCGCCGCGCTGTGTTCCCTTGGTTGTTTCTGAACATGCACTGTGAACTCCTGCTGCTAATATTTGGCTCGAGAAAGAATTTATATACAGCTGCAACCTGAGTGTAGTTTTTGTTGTCCTTGTTGGGTCTCGCTGGTAAATGTTGGCAGTTCTGTTTGTGCCAGATCGTACGCACGCACGAATGTTGGCGCTTCTGTTTGCCTCAATAACGTGCACCCGCCGTGTTCCTGGGAGGCATCAGCGCCGTGGTTCGAGAAGATGCAAGCCGACATGCTCAAGTTCGACGACGAGTGATCTATGGCGGTAAGCGCCATCTTTTTTGTATGCTGGCAGGTGTGTTGACATGACCACGGGAGCCGTGATGGCGTGGTCGAACTCAAGTCTCATCCTTTTTTTTATGCTGGCATGTGTGCCGTTTTTTTTGTGCTGGCATGTGTGCCGGCCAGCTGGCGAGTGCGCTAGCATGAACTGTGGTGATATTTTTTAAAGCCGGCATTGTATGCCGGTGCTGGCATGGTGCCGGCATGAGACATGGCCGCTGGCATGATCGTCAGTGGGTCTTTTTTTTTTAAAATTAAATGCGGACATGAAATGGATCGATGTGTTGGGCGCACTGCCGATCCAAATGCAAAACTGAACGGACGCCGGACGGGCGCCGATCCAAACGGACAATAAACGAACAAATGCACCGTCCGTTTGGATCGGCCCGTTGGAGTTGCTCTAAGCTGTCCAGTCTCATTGCTAAGTCCATTGAGCTTGCCGTTGTGGAACTCAATCGTCCGGAATTCCTTCACAAACGACCGCGCCTTGGCAGCACGCTCATGGTGGCCATGGCGTCCAAAGTTGCCTCGGCCGTCGGTTTGATAGCAAGCGTGCCCAACATCTTGCTCTCAGGATGGCCGAAGGATCGAGTAGGTCGGTGCTCGCACTGAATTGGACTGGGCGACTCGCAATGGTTGGCTCCGGGGGGCGGGGGCAGTCGGCACGCTCCCAGAACAGGTTCAAACAGAAGGCTGACAGAAATCGTACACAGCCATCATTTGAGGTAGCAGACTCTGTTCTCCTCAAGCTTCAACCCTATACCCAGTCCACGGTGGCGCATCATCCATGCCCCAAGCTGGCATACATGTTTTTTTGGCCCCTTTCAGATTGGAGCTGTCTAGGACACATGTAGATGTGACATAGTTATGTCATATCTAAATTGAGGTCCATTCTTTTTGTGGTCTATGTTTTTTTGTCTAAGTTTTTTGTTTCTTATTGCTGCATTATATATTTATGGGAGATTAAATATGACATCCTTAAAAAATATCTAGATGTGAATTAGACAAACCGTTTCAAATTCTTCAACGCATTGGTACTGGCGTACAAACTGCAACTACCGAACGACAACCGCATACACTCGATACACCGGTGGAACCAATCACCATCCTCGAGCATCTCCTGGTCAAGAAAGATAACAACTCAGTGGTACGTACAAGTGAAGGTGCAGTGTTCTTCGCTAGCTGCAGATTGGCGTCCTGGGAGGACAACTCAGTGCTCCGGCATTGATACCCTACGGCAAGATTCTGGGAAGAAGACGCTTGCGCTCAAGGGGAGGCAAATGTCACGCCTGATATAGGAGTATCGGTGGACCTGTGAGTGAGAGAGAGAGAGAAGTGTGTGTGTGTTGGACTGACAATGGGCCACATGTGACAGGGCGCGTGCGTGCGTGACTACTTTAGGCATCATGTAAACCGTGGACACGTTATGCAAATGAAAGAATCTAAGGCCAACTTTTTTTGAACGCGGAGGCAAAAGATTTGCCTCATTCATTAATTAAAGGAGGAGACAAGGTTTAAGTCGAAGCCACATTGGGCCCACTAAATACAAAATTCATTACTTTCGCGGCATCAAATTACTCAGGCGTTTCACACTCGCTAGCACCCAGAGCCTAGCTTCCTCCTTCAAGTTTCGCAAGATGATTTGAGGAGGCGTCGATTTCTTTCGGAAGTGAAAGGATCGATATAGTTGACTAGAGGGGGGGGGGTGAATAGGCAACTAACAATTTTTAGCTTTTTTTTAACAAATTAAATTTTGCATCAAAGTAGGTTGTCTAGATATGCAACTAGGTGAGCAACCTATATGATGCAACAACAATAAACACACAAGCAAGCAAATGATAGAACACAATATATCTTGCAGAAGTAAAGGTAAGAGATAACCAAGAGTGGAACCGATGGAGACGAGGATGTGTTACCGAAGTTCCTTCCCTTTGAAGGGAAGTACGTCTCCGTTAGAGTGGTGTGGAGGCACAATGCTCTCCAAGAAGCCATTAGGGCCACCGTATTCTCCTTACGCCCTCACACAATGCGAGATGCCGTGATTTTACTATTGGTGTCCTTGGAGGCGGCGACCGAACCTTTACAAACAAGGTCGGGGCAATCTCCACTACTTAATTGGAGGCTCCCAACGACATCATGAAGCTTCACCACAATGGACTATGGCTCCGCGGTAACCTCAACCGTCTAGGGTGCTCAAATCCCCAAGAGTAACAAGATCCACAAGGGATTAGTGGGGGAAATCAAATTTATCTTGGTGGAAGTGTAGATCGAGGCCTTCTCAAGCAATCCCTAAAGAATCAACAAGTTTGATTGGCTAGGGAGAGAGACCGGGGCGAAAATGGAGCTTAGAGCATCAATGGAGCTTGGGGATGGAAGAGGTGGTCAACTTGGAGAAGAAGACACCCCTTTTATAGGGGAAGAACAAATCCAACCGTTATCCACCAACTCAGACTGTGACGTGCGGTACTACCGCACCAAACACGCGGTACTACCGCACGGGCCTGCGGTACTACCGCGGGGGACCACGGTACTACCGCTGGCTCGGTAGGGGCCAGAACTAGCCCTGTTGTGCTAAGACAGAGAGCGGTAGAACCGCTGGCGCGGTACTACCGTGCCCCCTTGCGGTACTACTACAAGGCAGGGATAGTTAAGCCAGAGGAGGCACGGACATAAACATCCGTGACTACTTTTGCTGAGTTTAGGTCTATGCAAAAATCCAACACGGTACTACCGCAAGCCCAGCGCGGTACTACCGTGTAGGGCGCGGATGTAAAAAATTACATCTGCCCCTACTTCTGCTCATGCCGCTGTGCTTGGCCAGGGCTTACGGTACTACCGCGCCGAGGGCACAGTACTACTGCGCTGGGCGCGGATGTAAAAAATTACATCCACGCCTACTGCCGCTCGGGCAGTAGCACCTGACCTGAAACCTACGGTACTACCGCTCCCATGGAGCGGTACTACCGTGAGCAATTGTGGTACTACCGCGCAGTAAGCCGGTACTACCGCAAGGGCATGTAGTAGTACCGCTCTGGGGAGCAGTACTACCGCCTGCCTCAGAACAGCAACATTAGGAGTCCTTCATTTTGCCTAGACAAGGAAAGACGGAGGATGCTCCAAAGAGCCAAAGGAAAGGTGGTGCAAAAAGGAACACATGTGTACGTCAGATTCCACCCAAACCTTTCCAATGCGGACCCCCTCTTAATAGTACGGCTTTCCTATGACTCAAATCCACCGAAAAGAAACATAGAGAAACGATGTCTTCAATAGTCTTCGAGGGGCACCAAAGCACACGATTAGTCATGATATATCTGAAATGCTCAAAGCACACGATTAGTCCGCAAAAGAATTGTCATCAATCACCAAAACAACTAAGGGATAAATATGCCCTTACAATCTCCCCCTTTTTGGTGGATTGATGACAATACGAGATTTGCACATAGGGGTATAAAATGAGGCAACGACAAACCTGTTGGGGAACGTAGCAGAAATTCAAAATTTTCTATGCATCACCAAGATCAATCTATGAAGATTCTAGCAACAAGAGAGAGGGGAGTGCATCTTCATACCCTTGAAGATCGCGATGCGGAAGCGTTACAAGAACACGGATGAGGTAGTCGTACTCGCGGCGATTCAAATTGCGGAAGATCCGATCTAACGCCGAACGGACGGCGCCTCCGCGTTCAACACACATACAGCCCGGGGACGTCTCCTCCTTCTTGATCCAGCAAGGGGAGAGGATAAGTTGAGGGAGAGCTCCGGCAACACAACGACATGGTGGTGGAGCTTGCAGTTCTCCGGCAGGGCTTCGCCAAGCACTACAGAGGAGGAGGTGGAGTTGGAGAGGGGGAGGGTTGCGCCAGGGGCAAGGGGTGAAGCTCCCATGCGCCTCCCCACTATATATAGGGGTGGAGGGGGCTGGTTTCTTTCCCTCCAAGTCCATTGGGGCGTTGGCAAAGGTGGGAGAAAAGAAGTCCCATCATTTCCTTCCCCACCGATTGTTATCTCCCCTTTTTAGGGATCTTGATCTTATCCTTTCGAGATATGATCTTATTCCTTCTAAGGGGGGATCTTGGTGCGCCTTGACCAGGGGTGTGGGGCCTTGCCCCCACTACCCACGTTCATGTGGGTCCTCCCATGCAGGTGGGCCTCACTCCGGAACCTTCTAGAACCTTTCTAGTACAGTACCGAAAAATCCCGAACATTTTCCGGTGGCCAAAATAGGACTTCCCACATATAAATATTTACCTCCGGACCATTCCGGAACTCCTCGTGACGTCCGGGATCTCATCCGGGACTCCAAACAACATTCGGTAACTGCACACTAATTCCCATAACAACTCTAGCGTC